GTCCGACACGATAAGCTGCAGGCCGCCTGGCAGGGCCCTTATAGGGTGGTAGAACAACGGTGTGACACCACTTATATAATTCGGCTCGTGCGTTGGTACTGGGGGGCGACGCATGCTCCATGTGAACATGATGAAGCCCTACCAGGAGCGCTCTGAGGAAGTGACCGCTATATGTGCGCTGAACTCCGAGGAGTTTGACAGTTTGCCTCTCCCGGATCTGCTGGGAGAGGGTCAGTTATCCGGGGACTTAGGGGAAGTCACCCTGGGGGATCGGTTGAGCCCACAGGAGCGGAGCGAGGTACAACAGCTGTTGAGGGAGAAGCAGGATATCTTCTCTAATGTACCTGGTTACACTCCTCTGGCCACTCACAGAGTAGACACCCCCGGGCAACTTCCCATGCGTCAGACCCCGTACCGCATCCCAGAAGCGGTACGGGCGAACATGCGCAAGGAGATCGATGAGATGCTCCAGCTGGGGGTGATTGAGCCCTCCGACAGCCCCTGGGCATCTCCGGTAGTACTAGTACCAAAGCGGGACGGCACGACCCGGTTTTGTGTAGACTACCGGAGATTGAATGAGAAGACGGTATCTGACGCCTACCCCATGCCCAGGATAGACGAACTCCTGGATCGGATGGCGAGGGGGCACTATCTCACCACGATTGACTTGTGTAAAGGGTATTGGCAAATACCCTTGGCGCAAGACGCCATCCCTAAGTCGGCCTTTGTCACCCCATTCGGCTTGTACCAATTTAAGGTCATGCCGTTTGGGATGAAAAACGCCCCGGCTACTTTTCAGCGGATGGTGGACCGCCTCCTGGATGGGTTCCAAGATTATACCTGCGCATACCTCGATGATATTGCCATTTTCAGCAATACCTGGCAGGAACACTTGACCCATATAGGAGCGGTCCTAGACAGGATTAGGGCCGCTGGTTTAACACTGAAACCAGCCAAATGCAGCATAGGCATGGCTGAAGTACAATACCTAGGTCATCGGGTAGGATGCGGCAAGCAGAAGCCGGAACCAGCCAAAGTAGAGGCTGTAGCTCAATGGCCTACCCCTAGGACTAAGACTCGGGTATTAGCGTTCCTAGGAACGGCCGGATACTACCGGAAATTTGTCGCGAATTATAGTGCCCTGGCCAAACCCCTCACCGACTTAACCTGTAAAAACCTACCCCGCCAAGTAACCTGGACCCCGGAGTGTGAACAGGCATTTCAGTTGTTGAAAGATGCATTGACTAATGCCCCTGTCTTGGCAGCTCCCAATCCAACTAAACGTTTTCTTGTCCACACAGACGCTTCTATGTTTGGATTGGGAGCAGTATTGAGCCAAGTCGGGGCCGATGGCGGAGAACATCCCGTGGCTTACATCAGCCGGAAACTGTTACCTCGAGAAGTAAGCTACGCCGCCATCGAGAAGGAATGCCTGGCTGTGGTGTGGGCCCTGAAGAAATTACAGCCATATTTGTACGGACAAGCTTTTTCCCTGCTCAAGGATCACAACCCGTTAGTATGGCTAAACCGGGTGGCTGGGGACAATGCTCGGCTGCTGCGCTGGAGTCTGGCGCTGCAGCCCTTTGACTTTAATATCCAGTACCGCCCAGGTAAACAGAATGGAAATGCTGATGGGTTGTCCCGACAAACTGACCTAGAGAAATGATCCGTGAGCCTCCCCGGACATCCCCAAGCCGATCCGTGTTGGATCAGACTGTGTATGCCGGCTTGTGGGCAAGGGGGAGCAGTGTAGCGGATGGCACCAGGCGACCCTACAAATATACTGTATATACCTGCATTCGTGTATCTGCTGTATTTTCTATGTATTAAAAAGAATTGTATTCCTCTGATTGTTCGGTAGTTTCATTCCCTTAGTTTATTCGAATGAAACTACCGAACAACCAGACCTCCCCTGTGTGAAGTGTGTCCTCAATTACCCGTTGCAACATTGTTGCGAACGGGTAATTGAATAGTAAGTAGCCGTCCTTTGTTCTCGGGGGTGGCCGCCATTCGACAAACGAACACGTGGCGGCGGCCATTTTAAAACTCCTGAACAGCGGTGTTTTGCCGTCGAGTGTCTGGAACTAAAATCGGACACTCGAGTAGGCGAACACCGCTGAGACCTCCACAAGCCCTGGTCCGTTCGGTTCCAAACTACCGAACGGCCCCTCGTTCGGTAGATAGAAAATACCGAACGAGGGGATTCAGGCGAACCCTCCCTAGCCTCTATAGCTAGAGGTTTTCATGTATTTTGTTCCCTTATGCCAGGACCGACCGCAGGGCCCATTCACATGGAACCGAATTCGGCTATCTCAGTTAGTGCGGTCGGTCATTTTATTCCCTCCATACATTTCCCGAACCCCTGGTCTGATCTGGGTGATTTTTGGATATGTTGTTCACCCAGATCAGGGGTATCCGGGGATGTAGGATTTAAAGAGGTACCCCTACGTTTAGGGGTACATCCAGAAACGGGGGGAATTGGTGTGCTGGATAAGGGGATTATGATGCTGGCTGAGGGGAGGAGATGTGTGGGAGGTTACCAGGACAGGATTGGCTACTGTAATAATTACTGTAAATCCCTCCCTTGCATGGGAGCATGCTTTATAAGGAGACTGTGGATTAAAAGCTTTCAGTTCTGCTCCTGAAACTGTGTGTCGTCCAGTTATTGGGATTGCTGTTGGGATATTGCTGTATTTTACCTGCTGGAAGCCTTGCCTGTGGATTTACTATTTACTTGTTCCTGAGCCTCACTTGGATTATAAGCGGAGATAACCTGGGTAATATTGCATCTCCGCTACAAATAATCTACCAGATTTTTACAAAAGCCGAATTTTAATTTGCCTAAAAGGATATCTTATTTTAGAGCAAATCAATACACCTGGATAAAAACAGCGGTATGCTAACACGTGATACTATCACATTAATATATAATTATTCTTAATTCCACCTGCAGAATGGAATGTTTATAACTATATATTCTTTAGTTAACTAAGATTTGTGAATATTGAAATCTGACCGTGATTTATCCAGTCATTTATCATGCTATTAGTAAATTTTAATTAATTTAAATTCATTAAATAAAACCAGCATAATGACCAGTTATGTAGATATTCTCATCAGATGAGTAGGTAGTCTCAGAAACTTGATTGGTTGTATGGAGGTGCATGAGTAATAGAGAAAAGTGGTGTTGGTTAGAAAGTCAGAGTAAAATTCAAAGTGTCAAGGAGTTGTGTCCAAGAGAGTTTAAGAGTAGAGTGTTAGTCCCAGAGAGTGTTTCTTGAGTCTCTCTCTCCGAATGTCCGAATCTGATTGCCCAAACTCCAACTCCCTCTCTCTACCAACTAACTTCTCTCTTCCCTTTGTCCTAACTTTTAAAGGGCCAGACTCTCTGTACGTCATTAGTTGATAAGCCAATAGGAAACCTTCCTATCCAGGAAAGAGTTAACTTTTCCTGATGACGATTTTGACATCATTTGGCTTATCTAAAATGACTACCATAACTTAGATTTGCTGTCAGTTCAAAGCGTTTGTCTCAGTCTTTGTGGCAACTACTTTGATCGTAATTTGTAAAATTAACAGTTCTAAACTCAATTTCACCCCTTACTTACAATGACACCTTGTAAAATGTAGAAAGTAAAATTAATTACTTAGTCTTCTCTGTCACTAGTGTCTGTGTTTATATAATGCATTCCTTAGCTCAGGCTCGGTGGTTAGTGAAATCAAGGAAATTATGTGTCTTTGTTATCCTGAAGATAGCAAAATGGAGTCTGCTCTGTTCTGAGTGACTCTGGCAATATACACCTTTAATTTCTTTCTTAGCACAAAATGTCTGTCGATATAAATATCCTGACAACAACCTGCTTCATAAGTCCCCCCTTAGCTTACTGAGTATGGGAGGTGGACGCTCATACATAATTTCAAAGGGAGACAGACCCATCCTTCTAGTAGGAGTACGAAGTATTCGCAACAGAGCTATTGGCAAAAGGACATTCCACTTTAGCTGAGTTTCTTGACATATTTTAGCCAATTGAGTCTTTATCGTTCTGTTCATCCTTTCTACCTTTCCAGAACTCTGAGGCCTATAAGCAGTATGGAGTTTCCACTTGATGCCAAGTACATGAGTCAGTTGTTGTAAACATTGATGGACAAAAGCTGGACCATTATCAGATCCAACACAGAAGTCCATATCTGGTTATAACTTCCCATAACAGAAACCGTACAACTTCTCCTGCTTTTTCTGTATGAGTAGGACAGGCCTCTACACACCTCCTTCTTTATACAATGCTCCATGGGCATGAGTTGTTAAGAAGGCATAGCTTGAATCCGTATACATGTTCACTGTCAACTCCTCAGCTAGTTGCAAGGCCCTTGTCAGTGCGATTAATGTTGTTCTGTGGTCCATAGGAAGGGATCATGTTCCGTGCCTTTTACAGCTTCATACAAGGGTTTCGCCAATATCGCATAGTTAGGAATCCATATCCTACAGAATCCTGTTGCTCCCAAGAATTCTCTCACTTGTCTTCTATTCATGGGTACAGTTATTCAACACACTGTTTTTTTTCCTTTCAGGTCCCATTGTTCTTTGACCTTCAGAGATATGGAATCTTAAATACTTGACAGTTGGCTGACACAATTGCGCCTTCTTCCTTGATACCTTGTAACCTGCCCTCCAAAGAATATGGAGTAGATCATGGGTTGCTTGTTGGCACATCTCTTTAGTAACTGCAGCTATCAAGAGATCATCCACGTACTGAAGCAATACACATTCCCCTGGGATGGATTTGAAGTCTTGTAAATCTTGACTCAGTGCAGATCCAAATAGGGTAGGTGAATTCTTGAATCCTTGAGGTAACCTGGTCCAAGTCATCTGGTGCTTTGATCCCGTAACAGCATCTTCCCATTGAAAAGCAAAGGTGCACTGACTTTCAGCAGCAAGTCGAAGGCAAAAGAAAGCATCTTTAAGATCTAGAACTGTAAAATAAGTTGTCCCACCCGGAATTAGAGCAAGCAGATTATAGGGGTTGGGTACCACTGGGTGTATATTAACTACTGCATCATTAACTGCTCTTAAATCTTGTACAGGAGGATACTCATCTGATCCTGGTTTTTGAACAGGTAATAATGGAGTGTTCCAAGGGGAGGTACAGAATTTTAGGATGCCATACTTCACAAACTTATCCAAGTAGATCTGTATGTTCTTCTTGGTCTTCTGAGGTATGTGATACTGGCGTAGGCTCACAGGGTAGGCCCCAAGCTTTAGTTCAATATGTATCGGTGGGCTATTACGAGCGGGTCCTGGAGGATTATTCTCTGCCCATACTCCTGGAATGTCAAATAACGATCCATCACTTTTAGGGTTTGCATTTGTTATTACAGAGTAGAAGCGCCATTCTTCTTCTTTTGGTACCAATACTGCTATCATGCCTGGTGATTTTTTTTTAAACTTCAGAGACATTGATTCGTTAGGTAGAAAAGTTATCTGAGCTTGAAGCTTTTATAATAGATCTCATCTGAGACGTTAAATTGGACACTCTGGCATATATAGGAACTGGTGCTTCACAAAATGGCCTCCTAAAATGCAAGTGCGACTCCTGAGAACCGGTCTAGCAGCGCTTCTCCCTGTAGCTCCTATTACAGTTACAGTCTTTCCAGAAGGAGGAGCTACCAACTTACTCACCACAGAATGTTCAGCACCCGTATCAATCATGAAAGGATTTCTCTTTCCCCCTATTAATCCATTGACCATAGGCTCCGCTCGGCCAAGGGGATGGAGCCTGGTCGGTATCAATAGTCTTCCATGACAGTGTCAGCCAGATCCACAAAATCTCTATCTTCCCTATCCCTAAGTCTCTGAGTAGGGGGATAATATCTTCCTTCCTGAACACCCCCTCTGCCATTTCCATTAAATCCTCCAAAACTTCCTCTTCCTTGTCCTCTAAAGCTACCACTGTAACCACCTCGCCCCCTTCTCTCATCTTGTCTACCACCTACAATATATCCCCTCTGTGAGCAGTCACTCTTCCAATGTCCTTCCTCTTTACAATATGCACGTTGATCTCTGCCTAGTGGTACCCTGCTCATCCTAGCCTCAACGCCTATATCCATCTCCCCTCCCTGTCTCGCTACACCTGTGATAGCTACCGCTAACATGTCTTCTTTCTTCCTCATTTTACGTTCCTCCTCATGCTTTGTCTCAGTTTCCCTATTCATAAATACTTTATTTGCAACCTCCATTAACTGTGATATGGACATCCCTGCAAATCCCTCTAACTTTTGTAATTTTCTCTTGATATCGTTCTGGGCCTGGCTGACAAATGCTGAGTTAATCATTCGGGCAATATGTGGTGGACCAGGTGTAAGCCGGAGAGGCATTTGTAAATGTCGGGATTAAAGGGTACCAGTCATTTGTCGAGTTAGTATGGGACTTCGATAGGGTTGTTTAGTAACAGGTTCCGATCTGGGAGTAGTAAGGTAGGTGGAAGGGGGTGAGTTAATTTTACTGGTCGGCATTAGGTGATTGAAAAATAAAAATGTGTTAAACCAAAAACCTGCCAGTAGGTGTAACCAGAGGGTAAGTAATTGTATCAAAATAGTCTTTATGGGTGTGGCGAAACCAACCTCGCCACTGTACACTGGAGATGCCTGGTTGCTCGCCTGCTCCCTTTAGACTATGGTCCTGCATTTTAAACTTTTATTTTACCAGCAGAAAGGTTTATTTGTGCCTTTCTGCGGACTGTTAAAGCCATGCTACCCCAGATAGCTATGCCATGGAGCCCAGCCGTATACTGAAAGACTGTATGAAAGACTTTGGCTCCATGGCGATTGAACTGTATGTATGTGATCTGAGCGCCATTCGATCTAAGCTATCTGGGGATAGGTAGAATGTCTATGTTTTATGGAATAAATGTAACTGTATGTAATTTTATGTCTTTTATTGTATTGTTACTGCCATGTGGTTAATGGAGTCTTGCCTCTGTCCTGGGAGATAATTGTATTACTTCCCCAATTATCTCCAGGACAGAGAGGAGGGATTGTGATGTAATTGTGGGTGTGTTTTACGGTTCCCCTGTAACGATTGGTTGTACTGTGTCCCACCCTGTGGGATGTCCCCTTGCATGGGGACTTGCATAAAAGCCAGTGTGTGGCCATGGGGGTACAGGGAGTTCCTGCTTAACCCTCAAAGTGAAGTGTCGGCTCATTATTGGGGGAGGATTTATTGTATGCTGTTAGAGACTGATTGCCAGGGAGTGTAAACCGCTTGGGGGCTTTTCCTGTTCGTCTGCTAGCAGCTATTCATGTGTCTCCAGTTCGGGAGATTGGTGCTTGCAGTAGCTGTCTGTGCAGCTGAAAAAGGGGAATATCGCCTAAACGGTTGTTAACCTCTTGTGGGCAAAATGGTCCGTTACAATGGGTCTAACAATAAAACTTAGCTTTTAATATATTTATACCTAAAATAAAACCTTATAACAAGAAATATTAAAATAGGGTAAGCAGTCCTACTTCTGTCTGTTGTATGCCAGTATAGAGTTAAGGATGATTAAACGGTCATTAATATTTTAAACAATGTAAATCAATGTAACTCCCGAAAATAGCCAGTAGGTGGCCCTAGAGTGCTTCCTAAAGTCTAATGAAGCAGGTAGACTTTAATTATGTGAGATGGGTATGTGGGTAGGCGGAGACAATATAGCAGGGGGAGTGCAAATACCAGCTATACCAGTTTTAGCTTGGGAGGAAAAGTAGGGGGTTGGTAATCAGATGCAAGGGGGGTGTCCAAACTAGGTGGAATTAAGGTCTTGGACAAATGAGTTCTGGCTACCATGGACTCCATTGTTCCTCTTGTCACTGTATACAGTGTTTTAACAATCTGTATACAGAAACTACTCATATAGCCCCAGCATATTATTTATAACAATGTAAACCTGCTGTATTAAATCTGGATCAAGGATCCACAGGAACACTAGTTACCAGAACAGGCTATCCTCTGCTACACAGAGTATTTTAATCTTTTGGGGGACAGTGTTACACCATAATCACAAACAGCATATCCCTTAGAAAAGATTTTTTTTTTTTTTTTTAAAACATACAATACAAAAGACCAACAGTTTGTGAATCAGAAGCACCCATGATTTCAACAGAGGGTCTGATTCAAAGCAGTACAAATATACAAACAGTTTCAACAGTCACACCAGTTACCTTAGCAACAGCACCATGCGGCATGGTTACTAGGCCCAAACATACACGTACACACACACACAGGATCCTCACATGTTCAACAATATCACGACGTCGCACACACAAAATTAAATCAAAAACCCACCAAAGACTATACACTTATCAATGTAACTATTATTCAAACCATACAATTATCCACACTATTAATCCACATAAACTAACCGATCACATTACATTTCAACAATTTTGTCTCTACAGTCAGTGGTTATGGTACATTTAGTAATAATTGTACAGTTAGATAATTATGGTGTTAGAGTTACATTATCAATTAGTAATAGTTAAGGTGTTACACATACAATGTCAAACAGTAATATTAGTGTTGTTAATGTAATATCAGTGGTTATGGTATTTTGAAGTAGTTATGATATGAAGTGGTTATGGTATTTTGAAGTAGTTATGGTATTTTGAAGTGGTTATGGTATTATGAAGTGGTTATGGTATTTTGAAGTAGTTCTGATATTTTGAAGTGGTTATGGTGTTGTGCACAATTTTACACTATACACACTTTTTACAAGTCCGCTAGACGGCAGAGCTCAAGCTTTCTAGCAGGACATACATTTCACCAATTACAACGTATTTTATAACTTTGACAGCAAACCCAACTATTCTAAGTGGCCAGCTCCTTGAAAGCTACCGAATGGAATATACACCAAAATTCGGTAGTTTACGCTGCCCAGGCACCAAGTTTGAGATCTAGCAAACGGAATTTACACCAAAATCTTGCTTAGTCTCCAGTTCCTGTATCAATAAGCTAGTGACTACATTTACACCAAAAATCACTTAGTCAAGATAGGTTGAGAGCTAGCGAACGGAATATACACCAAAATTCGCTTAGTCTCCCCAGTATCCTCGATCTAAGGACCGAATTTACAACAAGATTCCACTTAGTCTGCCAGGATACCGGTGTCCGGCTGAACATATATACACCAAAATTCAGTCTGACTACAATCCTCCTATATTAAACGGGCTGGCTACAGAGCGTTTAATTTCAAATAAGCGGTGCACCTTTGCTTCTTCCCTCCATAGGGAGGGGTCAATCAACCAATCAGATACGGATCCTGCCGCTATTGGGTCCACAATTTACCGTTTAGTTCCTGGACCTAGGTTCACACTCATCGACGGGACACTGCGCGGAAGCTGATGATCTCCTGGACAACTGGCCAGTGGCGCCGAGACGAAAGGAGGTCCACGCAGTAGAAGTTCAGGGGTGCAGCCGTGGAAGATAGAAATTAGGATATCGTCAGCATATTAACATATCTTCCATTCATCAAGTTGGGTTCCTAATCCTTTAATCCCTACATTTTGTCTAATATTATTTGCTAGTGGTTCAATTGATGAGACGTATAATAAAGGTGAAAGAGGACACCCCTGTCTCGTCCCATTGTTAATATAGAACCAATCTAAGCATAGATCACGGGCTACTATACGGGCAGAGGGATTCGAATATATAGCTCCCACCGCACTCAAGAACCATCCATCAAAACCGAACTGTAACAAAGTTCTCTTCAAATATCCCCATCCGACCCTGTCGAAGGCTTTTTCTGCATCCACCGACAGGGTCAGAAGGGGGGTTCCCTCAGCTTGAGCCCATTCTATAATGTCCAGAACCCTACGGGTGTTATTTGAGGAGTGTCTTCCCTGCATAAAACCTATCTGGTCCCTATGTATAAGTGATGGCAAGACTATTTTCAAACGTTCCGCTAAAATTGTGGCATAAAGTTTCATATCCACATTAACCAGAGAAATAGGTCGATAATTACTCACATCATCTGGACTTTTGCCCTGTTTCAAAATTGGAGTAATATGAGCCCTTAATAAATCTTGAGATGTATTCCCTTTGATTGCCAATTCATTAAAGGTGTCAGTTAACAACGGAATTAATTGTCTCTTAAAAACCTTAAAAAAACAAATTCGTATATCCATCCGGTCCAGGAGCTTTACTATTAACAAGCTTATCAATTGCCAATTCCACTTCATGAAAAGATATATTTCTAT